AATAACAAAATGATAATGATATTGATATTGACAGTGATAACAATAATAATAATGGAAGCAATAATAACAATACCAATAATAAAACTAATAATGATAATGATAATGATAAAAGCAATAACTGTATCACTGATGATGATAACAACAACCACAACAACAACAATAGTATGAATAACAAGAACAGTAACTAAAACATTAATGATGGTAATGAAAACAACCTACCAAGACTATTACTACTTATAATAAGTACAAGAACAAGTTGATGATAAAATTGATACTGATAATGAAAATAAATGTTCTTTGGAAAATGAAAGAAAGAACGAAAGAAAAAATGGAGAAAAATAAATAAATAAATAAAGAAAAAAAAATAAATAAAGAGAGAGAAAAAGAAGAGAAAAAAGAAGAAACGCTAATGAGTCAAACAGAAAAAAAGAAAGAAAGAAGAAGAAAAGAAAGAAAGAAAGAAAACTAAGCAAAAGAAAAAAAAAAAAAAAAAAAGGCTAAAGCTTGTAAAAAAAAAAGATAAAAAAAAACAGAGAAGATAACTAAGTAAAAGCAGAAAAAAAGAACTGAAATAAAAACTACTTAGTAAAAAAAGGAAAGGAAAACTAATACATAAAACAATAAAAACAAATAAGGAAAAAATATAATAAAAAAAACAAAGAAAATAAAAAGCGTTAATAACAAATAAACAAAAATGTAGATAACAAATAAGGAAAAAAAATCGGAAAAAAGCTAATAAGCAAAAAAAAAAAAAAATAAATAATAATAAAAAAATAAAAAATAAAAAAATAAATAAAAATAAAATAAAATAAATAAAATAAACGACCTAACCCTTACTCAACACCACCAGCCTCCCTCCTCCTCCTACCTCGTGAAGCGGCTCCTGGCAAACGAAGGAGGATTGTCCTGATCCGAGAAGACGGGGCTCGTTCTCATGAGGAGGAGCCTCAGGAACACGACCCCGAGGCCCTGGGGGAAGATAAGGGATAAGAAGCTCGTTTCATTTTTTTTTTTTTTTTTTTTTTTTTTTTTTTTTTTTTTTGGGGGGGTGTTTGGGAGGGGTGGAGGGTTTAGGGGGGGGATATGGGAGGGGGAGGGGGGGGAGGTGTGTAGAGGGAAGGTGTGTATTAGGTGGGTGTTGCGAGGGAAGGGGGTGTATTGGGGGGGTGTGGGTGGGAGGGTGGGTGGGTGGGGGATATGGGAGGGGGAGGGGTGTGTGAGGGGGGGGGGTGTAGGGGGGTGTTGGGTGTGGTGATGAGATGGGGTGTTGGGGAAGGTTTGGGGAGGGGGAGGTGAGGTTTGGGTGGGTGGTGGGTGTGGGTGCGGTGTTGGGGGAGGGGTGTGTTGGGGGAAGGGTGGGTGTATGGGAAGGGTGGGGGGGTGTTGTGGGTGGGTAGAGAGGGGGGAAGGGTGTGGGTAGAAGGGGAGGGTGGGGGGATGGGAGGTTTTGGGAAGGGTGTAGAGGGGAGGGTGTTTCTTGGAGGAGGTGTGGGATGGGGGGGAAGGCTGTGTGGGGATGTGGGGATGTCTTTTTTGTTTTGCTACTGTCTGTCTGTCTGTCTCACTCTCTCTCTCTCTCTCTCTCTCTCTGTCTCGTATTTCTCTCTAACACACGCACTCCCTTTATCCCTCTTTCTCTCTCTTCTCACACACACACTCCCTCTTTACCTCTCTCTCTCACTCATTCCCTCTCTTTTTTTTCACTTTCTCTCTCTCTCTATCCCCAACTATCCCCAAACTCATACGAATCTTCCATCCGCTCTTGTACTTGTCCCCCCGCCTCCCCCCTCCTCCCCCCTCCCTCCCTCCACCCCTGTCCTCCCTCCCCCTCCCTCCCCCTCCCCCCTGTCCATCCGCTCCCACCCCTTCCCCCCTCCCACCCCTGTCCACCCTCCCCCTCCCATCCCCCCCACCCCCCCTCCCACCCCCACCCCACCTACCCTCCCACCCCTCCCCCTCCCTCCCTCCCTCCCCCTCCCACCTCCCACCCCTGTCCGTCCCTCCCCCTCCCACTCCTGCCATCCCACCCTCCCTCCCACCCCTCCCACCCTCCCCCTCCCACCCCCTCCCCCTCCACCCCCCCCTCCCTCCCTCCCCCCTCCCCCCCCCTCCACCCCCCCCATTGGTCCACTCCATCCCACTCATCCATCCCCCCACTCATCCCACTTACCAACAACAGCATCCTGGCGATCCTACGGGACAGCGGCATCACCGTGTTAAGCCCGGCGCGGTCCCACAAGCGCCTGCCGGAAGAAGAAAAAAAAAAGAAGAAGAAGAAGAAGAACGGAGAAGGACATCTTAAGATCTTTCCTGTCGTCTCTGGTGTTTTTTTTTTGTTTTGTTTTTTGCCTCCTGTGATTACTCGGGTTTCCTTTTTGTACCTGTGTTGTCGGGTCGAGTTTAAGGGGCGGTGGGTGTGTGTGTGTGTGGGGGGGGGGTTAACTGAGTTACTGAGCGATGTGTATATATGGGTAGAGGTATATCTTTATATATGTGTGTACATATATCTCTATCTATCTATACATACATATATATACACATATTTACATATATATATATATATATTATATATTATATATATATATATATATATATATATATATATATTATATATATATATATATATATATATATATATATATATATATATATATATATATATATATATATATATATATATTATTATATATATATATATATAATATATATATATATATATATATATATATATATATATATATATATATATATATATATATATATACCTATATACATTTATATGTTAAAACAAGAAAATACATATATGTATAATATAAATGTGTGTGTGTGTGTGTGTGTGTGTGTGTGTGTGTGTGTGTGGTGTGTGGTGTGTGTGTGTGTGTGTGTGTGTGTGTGTGTGTGTGTGTGTGTGTGTGTGTGTGTGTGTGTGTGTGTGTGTGTGTGTGTGTGTGTGTGTGTGTGTGTGTGTGTGTGTGTGTGTGTGTGTGTGTGTGTGTGTGTGTGTGTGTGTGTGTGTGTGTGTGTGTGTGTGTTTGTAATATGTGTATATATATATATATATATATATATATATATATATATATATATATATATATATATATATATATATATATATTATATATATATATATAGAATCATCCATTCTGCATATATGTACTTTCATTATTTAATTTGCTTGTTCTACTTGTTTTCCCTTCCTTTTATGTGACCTTCATGTGTGTTACAAAGTATTTCAAAACCACAAACTCACAGGAGATATACAAACGTTAATCCTAACCGGCTTTCATACAAAAACAACAACAACAACAACAAAACAACAACAACAACAACAAAACAACAACAACATCACAGGATACTCACTGCTTAATGCTGGGGCTGGTGCACACGAGGTCCCACGCTATGCACACACCGAGGACCATGAGGGCGTGTTCTTTGCACAGGACGCCCACGCACGCCCATATCCCCGCCCACCACAGCCAGAGGCCCTCTCGATTCTTCGTCTCGGGCTGGATTGACCTACGTGTTAGGAAGTTCAGTCGTGAAAGCGTTTTTTTTTTTTTATCACAGAAAACAAAATATCATTTTGGGAGAGAGAAAATTTTTTGTTTATTCAAGAAATATATCGAGTGTTAAGTAAAAATGAATGAAATAAAATAATAATCAATGTATATAGAGTCATACAAAAAAAAACAAACAAACAAAAAAAAATTTATCGGAAATAAAAAAAAATGCTGACCAAAAAAAAAAAAAAAAAAAAAAAAAAAAGTGACAAAACTCTAGGGACATCGCAACCCACATTTCACTAACATCCGAAAATCCTAATGATGTTCCAGCCTAAATTTCCAATAGAATACTATCCTGTAATGCTACGACCATATATCAAGTGCACCACAGCTTGCCCACGCCTGTGTAGTTAGCTATGGTGCGAGATAAAAAACTAAAATAAAAATCATTTAAATATAAATAAATAATCATAAACGCCTCACGCCTCAGGATTATGTCATTTTTCTTTCCCTTTTGACTGATAAAGATGATAATGATGTCATAGCCTAGATTTTCAATGGAATATGATCATATAAAGCGATGGCCATTGTAGCAAAGCTTACCTATACCTGTGTCTTTAACCAACGTGTTAAGAAAAAAAAAAAAAAAAAAAAAAAACTTAACTGAAAAAAAATCCTTTCCTTTTCGTTTCAGTCTACGATCAAACACCCCCATTCCCCCCCCCTATATCCCCCAAAAAGAAAAATAATAATAATAATGATAATAATAATATAATAATAATATTAATACTAATAAAATAAATACTAATTTGACAAAAAAAAAAAATCACACAAAGAACCACATAAACACCACCAAATCATCCACGAATAACAGATAAAGACGATGACCAAAGAAGGACGAAAAGGAGAAACCAACCTGTGATAAGACAAGAATGAGGAGAGGAAGGTAAGTGCAGCCAGCAGATCCGCCCGACCCACTATGCCTGTTACCTGTGAGGAGAGAAGAGGAAAGAGATTTGTGATTAACTTTTCTTAAATGAAAAAGGGGGAAAGGGAGGTAACGGTGAGAGAGAGATGGAGGAAGAAGGGATGGATAGAGGGAGGGAGGAGGAGAGGGAGGGGAGAGGGAGAGGGAGAGGGAGGGGAGAGGGAGAGGGAGAGGGAGGAGGGGAGAGGGAGAGGGAGAGGGAGAGAGGGAGAGAGAGAGAGAGAGAGGAGAGAGAGACGAGAGAGAGAGAGAGAGAGAAGAGAGAAGAGAAGAGAGAGAGACGAGAGAGAAGAAAGAAAGAGAGAGAGAGAGAGAAGAGGAAGAAAGAAGAAAGAAAGAGAGAGAGAGAGAGGAGAGACGGGAAAGGTAATAAATATAGTTTTGTTCCCATATGAGTCATAGTGACGAATCCTTTGCTATGCAGAAGTTGTACCCCATTCTAACATTGCACAAAAAACTGTTTCTAGGAAATTCTACGCACAGAGACTGCCTATGTTCATTATTGTAGA